TGTAAAAATGTAAGTTCGAACAAGTTGCAGCTCTACAGTGCGACCGCTCACCGAACCAAGTAAAATAGCCCCAAAACAGCTTCGTTTTCATGTGCCATGGGCTGATTTCTGCAACCCACTACTGCACATGAAACATTAGCCATCTCAGCACCTTGGAACCACCTAGGTGGCATAGGGCTGGATGGGGCTTCGGTATAGTGTCGAGCAATGAACACGCTTTCACAAGTTCGCACGTTACCTTGATGAGAACTTATTATCGCACCCGACACCCGGTGAGCAGCTATTTGTAGACTTGTAGCTATTAATTCAACCTTCTAAAGTCCTTATTTTTCCCCTCTCCCCCTTTTCTCTTATGCACGCAAGGTGCTCATTGAATTGCTTGTAAAGCTTCCCCTTTTCGCGAGACGTCGGGACTTGTCCATCGCTCGTTCTTCGAACTAATCAACTTTCTCTTTTTACAGGTCCTTCAGGACCTGCGAGAGGTTGCAAGTGAGCTGATCTTTGCGTATGCAAATCGCAAGGGCGAAGCGCGACTTAGGCAACGCAAGCTAAGTTCGCATCTTTGCCGCAAGGGTGCCTCGCGATTTAGGCAACACAAGCTAAGTTCGTGTCTTTGCCGCAAGGGTACCTCACACCTTAGGCAATTCCAACTAAGGCCATGACAAAGTGCTCTCCCTTCATAAGAGCAAGGGATCGATGACTTCATAGAAGTCCCGCTTCTATGGTACCATGGCGCTACCATACCCATGGCCCTACTATCCGTCACCTCATATCTGTATCCCTTTCTTCGTGATCAGTAGATCTGCCTCTATGGCACTCCTCCGAGTCCACTTCCATTTTAACTGATACTTGGTTTTGGGTAGCTAAGTCCCTCTAGACTTGTCGTCACTTCCTCGCCCCTTTCGACCCCTTACTTCAACATCTCTATGTTCTCCAAGCAGTTCCCCTTGGTTGATGGAAAGACAGACTGTAACTCCCATACATAGCCTCTACCATCATGTTGCATGGTTTGCACCGATTCTGTTCTCCTTAGCTTTCTTGGTAGCAACGTTCGCTTACTCGGCCTTGTCCTCTGACTTGCCGGGCTCTCTTAAGCGAATATAGGCTTTGAAGTAGTCCAACTCTCCAGCCGCTCTGATCATACCTTTGCATGATCAAGTCCCTCCCATGGGACTCACTAGTACTTGCATTCGAACTTTTCCCTTAGTGGTACACATCCCCCATATGTTGATGACTAAGGCTTTCATCCGATGTAAAATTCGATGCACGCATGGAAGACCTGCCTCTGCAGTACCATGGCTTTCACTCCTTAAATCCATAGCCCTTCTTACGATCATGTTGTTCATCAAAGTGGAGCTCTCATTAGCTCCCGATCATACCTCCATATGATATAGTCCCTCATGGGACTATATTTGTGTGTATCACATTGCCATGAACTGTTCCACCATGGTTCGCTGCACTATGTCGCTTCCTGGTGACATCTCCATTGTATTATGATCTTTGTCAGATGAACTCAGATTGTGATCCCTCCATGTGTGGCCTCTGCCAACACATCGCAGGGCCTTTTATACTTTCGATTGTGTTTGCTAATTTGGTAATCAACTTTTGTCCACCCGCTCTCAGGTCACACCTATACGAAACACTGCTCTAGGACAGTCCGTCGCCTAGTAGCTCCCGAAGTCCATTGACTTCGCTGAAATTGGTGCATCATTGTCTAGATCCTGGGCCTCTGCCCCTACCAGCATAATCTTCATTTCACACCGCATCCTTCATGGCAACTTGAATGATAGCACTGTGGCATATTCTTCAAGAGTACCCGCCTTCGTGTTCTCTTGCCTCGTGCCAAGGTCTTCTGAATCCAACTTCGCCTCTGCAAGTTGAGTCACCTCAGTTCCTCTATCAAATGCTTCTATAAGGTAAGGTGCATATGCCTTGAAGCTCCCTTCATCTTTGGCACAATGTAGGATGAGCCTGCTCTATCAGAATGAGGGACCCATGGAATGACATGATCCTGCTCTTGCCTCTGCAAGAGTTCATATCCTTAACCTTTGTCCAAGGAAAGCTCTATGCCTTTGCTCCATATTCCATCTTCTACGTCAGCTCCCTTCATGTGGCTTGGGTAATTCGCCAAGTTACACCCAAGTTACTCTGCTTATCGATTTGCATTGAGTTGATGATGGTATTTAGGCCCACCATTCCACGGGTCAACCCTCTATTGAGTCTGATTTCCATATCGACTCCAAGTGTGCCTTTATTTCTATTGCCTTGGATTGCTCCTCTACTTGATCTCGCAATGCATCCCCTAATGCATTATCTCAAGCGAGATCATGCAATAAATCCTCACTGCTCACTCGGTCCATTGAGCTTTGTGAATTTGTTTTTGAGGTACTCCTCAACATGTGCGGTTCGTTGCATATGGTTCTCCCTCTAGAGAGCCGAGATTTATCCCTCCTAGATATCTATCCCGTTGGAGCAATTCTCTCTTCGCTTCCTTCTCTTTGAAAGTTTCGGAGACCACCATCCCCTTAGACTACTTCGCTTTGCTGAACAAACTGTACATTGTTTTGCCTCCCACAAATGCCCTTGCTAGATTGTGACTCCATGTTAATACAGCCCCCGTTGCACCCTTCAAGGCCTAGCAACATGCTGAACTTGCTGCACACTTCAGCCTCCTACAAACGTATCCTTCTCATGCTAAAGAGAAAGTTTCAATGCTCCGTGGTACCGAGTTTCGGTCGCCTTAGGATGGCCATGAACACTCAATCGTTCGCATACAAGCCTTTGCATAAGTACCAAATTCTTCGAGTTAGCAATTCCTCTTACCTCTATGAGCTTTGCACAACTCTTTTGGTCACTGAATAACCCATTCCACCTTACATGGTCTCATCCTTGACCAAGCGTCTCACTTGCCTTGAGCACCATCAAGTACGATTGCCAACGTTGAGCCGTAGCTCAAACTCAGCTATCCCAACCTTTATGTGCTACGCATTTTTCCTAGCTTACTTGTCCTCGTGGTGCCTCTTGCGCGAAGTGTTGGTCATTCCTCTGAATGTCAATCTCAAATGCCCGCTCCTCTAAGCGACTCCTTTTTCCCTATATCTCCATGCCCGCTTTCGCCCAAATGGTCACGCGTGCTGGCTGCCCTCAACGCAACCCTGCTAGGTCCCCCAGATTTGTATGCCAAGTGTTTCTATGAGTGTTTGCCCTGCTTTGATACCATCTGTCACGGACTTAGCTAGTTTTGCCTAAGTTGTATGACACTCTTGTGTGTCCGTCCGTAAAGGTCAGCCTCCTCGAAACCTCCTAGGGTCTCTTAAGACCTACAAAAGAGAAAACGGGTTAGAAAAAGCGTCTCACTCAGGATTCACAAGCAATCATTTCAGGAAACACCTCTTAACCAATGTAAATTACAAACATACTTCATAAGCTTTGAACAGTTGCTCAACAAAGGATCCAAAATGGTCCACTACAGATCGAAATATCCCACAAGTGTCCACATGACACAATCTTTATTTACAAGCCTAAAATGGCCACCAAACCCAACTAACTTAGGGCTATTAAGCCTTCCACCGTCCCTCTATATGCTGTGTAAAGCATAAACAAGCCAAAAGATATGAATGGGCATTACATTAAACACCATATCTACAATTTTGTCCATGATATGACGTAGGTCACGATGACCGAACCACTATAAATCGGTTTGCATTTACTTTATACTTTTCATTCTTATTATAAATTGATTTAATTATTCATTATGTTTACGAACGTTTTTAAGTTAAACGTCTTTCCGATACGAGCATTATCGAATGAAATTTTTTAAATCGATATAATTTTACATAAGTACTAATTCACCTCTCCTTCTTAGTATCGATTTTGATCCTAACAGGGCCTGGGTCGTTTGGGTGTCTTCTAGCAATAAGCGATCTTACATGATAGGCCGGCGTAGGGGGTTGCCCAGTACGACCCCTTCGATACTTAAGTTAGCAAAAGAGAGAAGACAATAGTATAAGCTATATGACTGAGTTAGTATGTAGAAAGATCTCCCTCGGTGTCTGCTTAGGGGTAGTTTCTATACCTCTCTGGGGATCAATCGTTTGTAGGTTGTTAGTGTCCGTCAATATTTCAAGCAGGTAGTTCATCTATTCTGGGGCGATTGATCTGATCCCATGCTATGCAGGGCTGTCTCGTCACTTTCGGGTGCCACTTCATGCAATTTCGAGCAGCGTGAATTCAATTTTGTGTCACTTCTGAGTTGAGTGGCGACGCTTAGGGACGCAGCTGTTTTTGAGTCAGCCTATGTCGTTTCGTACAACTTTGAGACATGTGTATGACTCCAGCTGAAGTGGCGCCACGTGTAATTTAAAATGATTGATAGTTGGGTGATACTAAAATATCTGAAATGATAGTTAAATATTTTAGTAAATAAAAAATTACTAGTGGAAGCTAGATACCACACAACGTGTGGTACCACACAATGTAGGACTGCTGCGACGTACCACACAACGTGTTCCCTCCGTGAGACTAGTTTTGAACACATATGTGAGTAATCGCATAAACATGTTATCGGAAGATAATGAAAATCCTGTTAGCTTTGTGTCTCATTAATGCATAAGGTAGATTTCTATGTATACAAATCAGCTTAAACACTTCTGGGGCTCCATGTCATCTGTGATGTCATGTCATCTGTTCTGACATCACAGAACACTACACAGGAGATCATCATATAGTCCATGTCCAATTTATTGGTACAAGCACCGAGTCCTGAACTCGCACACACATAGATCTCTGATGACTCCATATATAGTTTTACCAATAATCAGTAGGATTCTGTTTTTTTTTAATGGGAAAAGGTCTGAGATAATTTTATTGCGTTCCTAATAATGGTTTTCCATGAAGACTGCAAGTTTTTTCTTGTGTGGAAGTGCAACAAAAAGAGGGTGATGAAGTTAGAAATGAAAGTAGCTAATCCAGAAATCTAGAGTTCAAGAGTTGTACCACCAAACATCTTTAATATGTTAGAAATCTATAGCTTGATGTATCAAGCATTTAGTTAACCGATACATGAGACATATAAGGAGGGGATCAGGGAGGCATGCGGCATACATCCTTTTCCAACTCAAGATGACAATTCTCTCCAAGTAAAGCTTAAATCATGGCATCCATGGCTAAGATGGTGCTCAAGTTCATGGGGTTCATGTACTCGGAAGAGCCGTCCATGAAATGGCTCACGACGATCCGGCAGGCTTTCTCCGAAGGATGAAAGGCGTCCCAGAAGGCGTATTTGCTACGGTCTTCACAAAGGTTGGACGCCACCGTACAGAGGCCGAGTCCGTTGTAGGGTCCTTGCCCACAACATGCAATCCTTGACGTCGTAAAACCTGCAGAAAATTTTGGTGAAAAACATGCATGATCAACTTCTTAATGCACATCAAATGTTCATCATGATGTTTTACCGAAGGCCTCTGGGTTCGTCACGTAGTTCATATGCATCCTGAAGGCGTTTGCTGAAATGAAGACGTCTGCACCGAACTGGGTGTTGAGCTCCTGCAGGACCTGGAAGAGCTGCGAATTGAACAGGCTTGCGGCTCTTTGTAGCTCGGGATCGCACTCGCCGTCGAGGCTTCGTAGGGCGAGCTCAGCTGGGACGCAGCCCAGCGGCCCGGTGCCGGTGACGAGAGCCCGACGACCCCCCATCTCGTGTAGCCGCTAGGGGTTGGTAACAGATGTCATTGATGAGAGGATGGAGCGAGCATTATTGAGACCTCACTGAGATCTTACGAAAGTGATTCACAGTAATGCTATGCTTAATTACTTTGTTTTCCTTTGATCTCAACCAATAGTTCTCCAGTATCTTATTACCAACTCAAATGACCCTAATTAAATGGTCATTAAATTATTTAGGGCTCAGTAGCAAATAACAAAGGAAAAACAAGGTCAAGAAATGGAGACTTCGTGATTGATTTGAAAGGGGAGATATGTTTACTGAAACATTTCAACTACGCTTCTCAGTTAACATACTACCATGTGTTACCCAACGCAAGGTAGAATATAATAGACTGACATTTGCCCCCTCCTTTATTCCGTAAAAGATCAAAGTAAAAAAAAATATTGCAGAATTCATGAACGCTTCAAGTGATGCGAACTTGCTGCTGAGAGTGCTGATTCGTAAGATGGAGGTAAAGTCGTGGAGGGAATTAGTTACCGTGAGAATTTTCTTGTACTCGAACAGTATATAGTCTACGTAGTCAGGCAGCGAAAACTGGCGAGATCGTACAGAGAAAGGGATCAAGTAGTAGTTGTTGACAAAGTCATTGCCTCCAAGGGTGATCAGAAATAATGCTTGGTTCACAAGCTTTTGCGCCTGAGATTGACCTATCATGGCTCTAAGCCTCTCCTGATACTCCTCGAAATGTTGCAGCTGCCTATTGATTCTGATGATGTTTATCTGTCGATATATATCATGCAAAAATTTCCAAGAAAGAAACACGAGTGAAGAAAAGATCATGCATGCAAAGTAAATCTAGGTCTGATCTCCATTAACTGCTTACAAACTGGATGCCTGTGTCATTCAGAATTCCGATCCCTGCCGATGCAAAGTTGGCACCAACAAGCAGTCTCTCCCCTTGGAGATCGGGACTGAGGTAAGGTAGTGTGGGTTCAGCTCCTAGGTGTTCGCCTGCTAACATTATAACAAGGCAAATAAACGTTAAATGCATTCAGGAATCTGTGGCAGCATGTCATTGCATTGAGTACGCCACTTAACTGAGGATATCAGGTATGTTAAGTCCATTAGAGAACCTCCCTGTGGGTTGTTGACTGGGTGTATCGATCCCGTAAGGAGGGGAGTCAGCCCGGGCAGTGGTCGCCAAGAAGTTGTTGTTACCATTGTCGACCAGAGAATCGCCGAAGACGAAGAAAGCACGCGCCTCTGAAGGAGAAGAGAGGCTCGCAAGGACTGCTACGATGACGACGACGACGGAGAAGAGAAGCAATGCCTCATCCATGGTTGTAGGAGAATTGCAGTAGTGTAAGCACACATGTATTGAAGCCGAAGGTGGTGGACATATATAATGATTTCCTTCACATGACTCACCTAAATCTTCCACCTTGTTTGTGTCAAATTGATAGAGAGCCACGAGGACCACTGAAAAGAATCCAATTGCTTGCCTTTGCAGCAACCAAAATCAAGTTAGGCATAAATGAGCTTTTATGGTGAAGCAATCGATATCTTCACAAAGCCATACGAAGGATGATTAATGTGGCTTTGTTCTGTTCCATTGCCATTGGAGAAGTAGTCAAATTTAGGATAGTCGATGTACGGGAAAAAGATTTTTATGATCCTCGAATGACCATCAATTGTAAAAATGCTGTAACAAGCGTCGAGGAAGAAGGCACTAACATTACAAAAAAATCCAAAAAATAATTAACAGATTATTATTATTTTTACCTTATATATATGGACAAAATTTAAACTTTCCGCCATGATAAATATTCTCTCTTCACATTCAAAAAAAAAAAAAAAGCTCTGTACTAAATTTGGTTTCCTCCTCTCTCCACACAAGTATTTATTAGAGGAACCAAACCTTAATTTTTAAGGATTTTCTTTCTTTAAACAGAAGGTTTTCAAACTTGCATTTCTTATCATTCAAATAACATACCTCAAAATAATATGTTTTCAGTTAAGGAATCTAAAAATATTTGTCAATTCAATAAAATTATGATAGAAATAAATTATTATTTGTTCCGCAGGTTCCCAATGTAGGTTTATCTCATGTCACATGCGATCGATCAAACCTAAAGTATGTGAATACTGATTGAAGGGAAATCAAATAAAATCTGTGTGATCAAATTAGTCCGGAAGTCACGATCCATAGGTGTCTTATGTATTTGATAACCATCGTGCAATGTCTACATCAACTGCGGCTCCCAAGACATGGTTAATTACACTATCAGAAGTCCAGCGGACGTACAAGGATTGGTTTTTTTTTGCTACTTCGGCTCTTTATTCTTCCAACTTGTTTTTTCCTGCCATTGAAGTTATGGACGTACCAAATTCAAATCAGCACAGTACGCTTCTTCGGTTCTTAATGCTTCCAACTTATTTTCGCTGCTATTGAAAGATCTGTACCATTCGAAATGCTGTTTCGGCTCTAAAGACTCCCAACTCGTTTTCGTTTCTTGCCCAACCTCAATTACTTAACTCCTAAGCTGGCATTCCAGTGATGTAGACACGTCGTTACCCAACCCCCAATAGCTATGACCCTCATGGCTTTATCTGAGTTGTTGACTCTTATAATGTCCTTGGAGGATACATGTGTTGATCGTGACTCTTCAACTCCTAATCGTGACTCTTCAAAAGTGAGAATTGTCAAAGTTATTCTTGAAATTTTGATTTGTAATTATAAAAAAAAAGTCAAAATTGTCAACATTACTATGTAAAAGGGATCTCATTTCCTTGTTTGATCGTGATGAGAAGATTAGATATTGACCCTAATTCCAACCATAGAAAAGGGATCCGACATCCATTGATTTATATAAATCTCATAATTTATAAAATTAATTCAATTATCTTTCACCCTATAAATACGGTTATGATATACACAAAAATCACATGCAATATTTCTTCATCCTCTTCATCTTCTCATAAGTTCTTTCTAATCTTCACAAAGTTTTCTTTCATGGTATCACAGTCCCACGTTGTCCAAAGTTGACTCTTCTCTTCCTCAGGAGTCTACCAACCTTAGTGATCATATCAGTTTTATTTCACCTATTTGTAAGCTTTATCATTCACCTCGTGCTTTTGTTTATATCCAAGATTTTCTTCTTTCGATAAGACTTAACTAGATGTGACTCAACTTATTTTCGATGTTCCTTAATGAATTTAACTATACTCATTAGACCTAAGCTATTCAAAGTTTCTTGAAAGTATAAAACTCTAACACAGTCTCTGGTGATATTCAATCACTGGTTAAGGATGATTCAAAATCCTCAAAAGCAATTGAGGATCATATCGAATAGTGGAATAGTAATAACAATAAGATTATTACATGGATCACTAATCCCTCATTTGCATTCAATAATATATCTTTTGATAGTTTTGATACAACAAAAAATCTTTGGGAGTTTTTATTTATTTGTTATGCTACAGGAGACCAAGCTCAACAATATCATATTTTTTACTAGTTTGCATCATATGAAACAGTCGCAAGGTCAACCTATTATTGAGTTTTATTCTTAAAGAATATTTATTTGGGATCAAATTGCTTTATTTGAACCTCGATGGAAATGCAAAATTGATGTTGCATTACTTGAGACATAACATAATAGATTAAAAAAAAAAATCAGTTTTTAGTGACTTTAAATGATAATTTTGAGCATGTTCAGACCTTTTACTTTATCGAAATCCGCTTTCTTCCATAGATGCTAATCTTTAGAAGTTTTATCTAAAAAAACATAGAACAAAGTTACAAGCTCATCAACCTATTTATAAATGAGACTGTCCTTGCAACTACTACATCATCATGAAGATATGGGACACAATTGTACTTTCTAAAGTATTCAAAATAGTCAAATCGTTCACACAATGAAAGGTAGTTTATAAATAGTGTCACAAGATTGGACAAACAATTTAGAAATATCATAAACTTGTTAGAAAGACTGTTGCAATTGCAACTACGAGTCTTTCTCCATCGGCACAACACTTTCTACCACTGATGTTGAAGCTATAGTCAACTAAGTTTTATCTCGCGTATCACTTTATTCTATCTCTATAATTTCTAACACGATAAATAATATTAATTGACTTCTTGATTCTATCTGTTCAAACCATATGTTATTAAATGTTGTGATATTCTATTTTTAAACTCCCACCTTTAATATTGCTCAAATTCACATTGCCAATGGGTGAACAACTAAGGTAAGTCCTATTGGTTTAATTATTACTTCCTATTGGTTTCTCAACTTTGGTTAAAGTTATTGCCTGTTGATCAAATGGGAGGATTAAGATTTGATATTCATTTTTCTTCAACTATTTGCGCTGCTTAGATTAACAAATTATTGAAATAGATCATCAAGTTGGACATTTATTCATTCTTGCTCAGCTTTATATTCTTTCTACAAATATATATATATATATATATATATATATATATATATATATATATATATATATATATATATATATATATATATATATATATATATTAC